GAGTTTAGGGTTTAGGGTACAGCCCTCCTGGTAATTTCTTCATCTTTGACTCATAAAATAGAACCAAGGACCAGAAAACTCCTTCCCTACTACCTGGAACCCTAAGCCGTGCCTGCACATTCTGGTTGACTTCGTTGGTATCATCGACATCTTGATTTCCAACTCTCTCCTCGACGGTTTAGGGGTTTAGGGATTTAGNNGGGTTTAGGGTTTAGGGTTGTGTGTAAGACGTCTGGGCTCATGGGCTAAGGTCCCGAAATATACGGCTTTGGGTTTCTGTAGGGTTTACCATATGGGTTCCTTTCGATTCAGAAATTCTACAAGCGTTCTACAGGCATAATCCGAAAACCTACGGGTTTAAGGGTTGTACCGTCTTACCCTATAACACCTAGGAATCATAGCCTACTACGGTTGATGATATAAATCTGCATTACCTTAGGAACCCTAAACTTTGGGAATTATGGTATATTCCTTATTAAGAGTCATGCAGGATTTATATCACCAACCGTAGGAATCTTGGCCTACTATTTTGTTGGGTTTGTTGCTACAGGAAGCAGCCTTGGTAACTAGCGTAGGCTCGGGTTGAGGGGGCTGTTTTATACTAGAACTAACAGTTGATGATATAAATCCTGCATTATAATACCCATAATAAGGAATATACCATAATCCCCATAGTTTAGGGTCCTGAAGGTAAGGCATGATTTACATCATCAACATTATGATAGAGACTACAAGGGACCACCATTACAAATTATTCTGAGCTCCATGCTTCATTAGTATTAGTGCCCCCCTTTGCACAGTGGACCAGGCATATTCGGGACATCATCGTTCCCAGGGGGTGAAGGGCGGAGATGAATCCGGGCTGTCCGCGCGAATCTTGTCCCCTTTTCAAGACCCAGAGAACCCAATACCCCTTATAGTCAAGGAATCTACCTCAAATCATAATATTAAGGCCCCTATAATTTCAGGCATATATTCCTTAATTGAGGGGTATTGGGTTCTCTCAAAATGCCCTGGCTTGTCTTCCTTCCCATTCCGCTTTCCCCGGCACGGTTTAGGGTCTATAGGGCTTATCAGGGTTCAGGGTTGAGGCGGTTTAGGGTTTAGGGTTTAGAGGGCTTGTCAGGCATGAATGTGCGATCCGGCGCACGGCATTTAGGTATGTCCACTGGACTCCGGGTGTCCTCCGCACCTTAGAGGCTGTGCGAAGGGCTTGGTTCCCAACGAAGTAACCCAGAGAACTCAATACTCCCGAATTAAGGAATATGCCTTAAATTATAGGGGCCTTCATACTATGATTTAAGGTATATTCCTGAATTAAGGGTTATTGGGTGGTTCTCTGGGAAAGGCATCGGAAACGAAGGAGCCGTCAAAAAACAGAGCGGCACTTAACTTCTGCGGACACCGCGTGCCTCATCAACAGTCTGTTTCTGAAGAGCGGTGCTCTGTCGAAACTGACAGGAAAAATCACTTCACGGTACCTCACGTGTGGTCCTGTCACGAGTCGTACGAAATTGCAGTGTTAGCTGGCCTTGGCCTTGGCTGGCGGGGGCTTCCACCGCGAACGTTCGGGCTGCCTCGGCCAACTGCGGTCGCCCGCAGGGCCGTCGGGGTCCTCGTCCACCAGGCCGGAATTTCCTCTTGAAGCACTTCTAAGCATTTCCTGCAATGGAGTTCAATTGCGATTTGCAAGCCTCAGCCGCAGACGGACGGCTTTTCTTCGGCGGATTGTTCAAATCCAAGGATACAGGTACCGTCATGAGCATTCTAACATTGGAAGTTGGTTTCCTCTTGGCTAGTCTCGAGACCCTAAACCCCAAACCCTGAACCCTGAACACTAAACCCTAAACCCTGAACCCTAAACCCTAAACCCTGAACCCTAAACCCTAAACACTAGTCTCGAGCAAACCTGTAAAGGGACTCCTTAAGATGCCTCAAAGGAGCCCCTTCGATCCCTTCACCACGTTTCCAAGCAAGGGTTTAGGGTTTAGGGGTTTAGGGGTGTAGGGTTTAGGGTTTAGGGTTTAGGGGTTTAGTAGTTTAGGCCACTCAAACATAGGATGCTGTTGGTAATCTGCTGTATGGCTAGGACCCTGTGAGAAGGCAAAACAAGGCAGAGAACAAACGGTGCTAGATTAGACTGTGCCCTAAACCCTAAACGGCCCTAAACCCTACTATAGGGGCGTTAAGAATTAGAATAAGGCATTGTGGGGGGGTACGTTATACTATAACTATAATGA